CCAGCTTAAAAAAACTTTCCTCTTTGAGCTTAATGCAGAGAAGTAAATCTTGGGCCAGGTTTCAGAGCTGGTTTCTTTGCACTAATAAATGTGGCTTTAGAGAAACTCTCCCCGAGGACGAGAGCGAGCCAAGCCTGCGTCCTTCTGCAGTTCAGCACTCAGAGCAGGGCTAGCAGAACCACCTGTTTCCTTCTCACTACGTATATGTAGTCGTGCTGGCACAATACAGGCCTGTTCATGGCAGATTAACACCGGGCTAGCAGAGGTGGCAGTGCCAGTTCCTCTCCAAAGTGAGCGAGGAAGTCGCCTTTTGCTCCAGACTTGCACTTGGAGAGCAAGATGGCGCCTATGTTTGGTTGTGCCTCTGCTCGTCACCTATATTGTTTTCCTGTGTTTTACATTACATGCACTGCCATCCTGTCTGCTCTAAAAACCAGCGACTGTGCCGTGGCTGTACAGACCTACGATAGGAGCTCTTTGTTTAGTTTAGTTTAGTTTAGTTTATTAATTTATTTCAACAGGGACAATGTGCAAATACATTAATTAAAGATGCTTTGCACCAGATTTAGCTTGAGCTAGTTTCCATCTGTAGTCCCTGAGCAGGTGAGTCACAACATGTACAATATAAAATATATTTAACCACTCAAATACAAATATTCATTCATACATTCACCCGTTACATCCATCAGTCCACATAAATTCATGCTAAAATTACTACATAAAACATCACTAACGGTCATATTTACATTTACAATTATCAGTGCTGACATGACTGGTTCACCAACAGCACTTTTTTTGTATTACGAGAGAAATCTTTCAGGTCTAAGGAAAGTTTCAGACTCTGTGGGAGTTTGTTCCATTCTTTGATGCCTTTGAATGAGAAGGATGTCTGCGCAAAGGCTGAGCTACGTTTAGGCAGTCTACAGTCATTACGACTTGTAGACCTGGAGCTCCTAGTCATCTGCTCAGAACAGAGCTGGACAAATGTTTTCAGCGGTGGAGGTGCAGTATTATTCAAAATTTTAAAAACTAATCGTACATTTGTGTACACAATTGAATTATCAAAGTTAAACATGCTGTATTTTCTAAGGATCAGACAGTGATGGTATCTCAATGGCTTTTTGTCTAGCACTTTAATAGCTTGATTATATAGAGATTTTAGAGGTTTTATTGTTGTGTCACTCGTCTGTGACCAACAAGAAATACAGTAATTAATATGTGGAATTATCATTGCCTCCAAATAAATTTTTGCCGCATCATGAGTCAGTGTATTCCTAATATGTTTAAAAACAGACAAACTGTATTTTACTGTGTTGCCAATTTTCTTAACATGTTTTTAAAAACTAAACGTTGAATCCAAAACAAGGCCTAGATATTTAAATTCCTTCACTACTTTTATTTGACTCTGGTTTACATAAATGTATGGGAAGGAGGACTTCAGTTTTTGAGTTTTGGTAAAATACATCGCTACTGTTTTATTTACATTAAGTGTGAGCGAGGCAGAGGAAAGCCAGTTTGAGATGTTTCCCATGACATTGGTTAGTTTATTGGCTACACTGGTTGCATCACTTCCATGCACGTAAACTACAGTATCGTCTGCATACATCTGTATGTCTACGTCACCGCACACCAAAGGGAGATCATTTATGTAAAGCGCAAACAGCAATGGCCCAAGAACAGAGCCTTGTGGGACACCCATGTCATTAGCCTTAGATGTTGATAGCTTACTTTTGACCCTTACACACTGGACACGGTCACTGAGGTATGATTCTATCCACTGTAGTGCTCTTGGAGACAGATTGTAATTGCTCAGCTTCCTCATTAGCACAGAGTGGTTGACCGTGTCAAATGCCTTGCGTAGGTCCAAAAACACGGCGCCCACGACCCCGCCCTTGTCCAGCTTTGCCTTTACTACCTCAATAAAGTAACAACATGCAGTTTCGGTGGAATGGTGTTTTCTATATCCAAATTGCATCGGATGGAGCATATTATTTTTGTTTAGGTGTTCTTTTAATTGCGCCGCAATTACTTTCTCTGTAATTTTTGAGACAACAGGAAGTATGCTAATTGGCCTGTAATTGCAGACCTCATGTTTGTCCCCTGATTTGAATACTGGAGTGATTACTGCAGTTTTAAAAGCAGTAGGAAAAGAGCTCTCTTCTATCGATTTATTTGTCAGGTATGTGATAGGAGTTACAAAATTGTCTTTATGTTTTTTGAGAAGAGCGTTGTCCATTCCCCAGTTATCTTTACTTTTAGAATTTGTCAAGGATTGCAATATTTTATTTATTTCAAATTCATTTATCATTTTAAAATTTAGCATATTTTGTTCATATGAAATATTATCAGATACTTGTACATAATTATTTGTATCTCTGTTTTGGATTCCTAGTTCTTTGACTGATTGTATGAAGTAATTGTTAAAATGATTCGCCACAATTTGAGCTTCAGTATCTGGTTTTCCATTAATATTAATTTCTAATTTATGACCCTTAAAACTCTTCCGTCCAGTTACTTTATCAATGGTTTGCCAAAGTCTTTTAGTATTTCCTTTTGCTTGTTCAATTAAGGTCATAAAAAAATTAGCTTTAGTTCTTCGTAACAGTGTGGTGACTTTGTTTCTGAGCTCCTTATACAGAAGTGAGTCTGTCAAAAGGCCAGTTTTCAATGATTTTTTGAGTGCTGCATCTCTTAATTTCATTAAATTCCACACAGACTCATTCATCCAGGGAAGAGGTATTTTACTTTTGATTTTTCTAGATGATTCTTTGGAGTATTTTGATAGGAGATCATTAAAGGTTATCATGAAGTCATTACTTGCTAATTGGCAGTTTTTGCCACAAGTTATTTGATTCCATTGAATTTGCTCTATTTCATCATTAAACAATTCCAAGTCTCTCTTTGAGATATATGAAGCCACTGAATTGATATCAATTCTATTAGAAGTTTTACATCTCATTTTTGATAACCTCCTGACTATTAAAGTAAGGTTGTGGTCAGATAGACCAGTTATCAAGTTATAGGCTTTTGCAATTCGTTCTTCTTTATTTGTAAATATATGATCAATCAATGTTTGGGATGATTTCGTTATACGAGTTGCATTCTTTATCATTTGCGTCATGTGGAACTTAGTTGTTATTTGTTTTAATTTTTTCCTGCAGCTTTTGTCTAGCCAGTTGACATTAAAATCCCCTAGCAAAATTATTTCCTTATTGTTACATTTTTTAAGTATCTCAGTGAGATGGGTAAAGAAAATATCCCTTGCTGTCAGAGGTCTATACAGCACAATAACTACAAATGACATTTCCGGTGAGAGTCTGATGGTTAATCCCACACATTCCAAAGACTCACTGAGGTTTTCAATTAATTTACAGTCAAACCTCTCTTTCACATATATCATTACGCCACCACCTTTTCCTTGTTTTCGGTCACATCTAAAAACGTTATACCCTGGTACATAAAGGACACTGTCTGGAGTTGATGGTTTTAACCAAGTCTCTGAAAGACCCAGAAAATCCAGATTGGAGTCTGTCAGCAAATGTTCCAGTTGCTCAGCTTTGACACAACACTCCTAATATTCAAATTAGGGATGTAAAAAACTATGCATTTTCATGACCGACCACCGAGCCTCATTAACCGGTTGAAACCGGTTAACCGCGTAGTTTAAAATATTCCACGTTCTTTGAAATAGCAGCCATTTCGAGCCGCGTACTTTTCATAAGTTTATCTATGCGTTCTACTAGATCAGAGCTGAGACAGCGGCGCCAAAACCCGCAACAGCTTCGGCACCTTTGCGCACAGAGAACTGCTTTTTTAATCTTCCCATACTGTGTTGCGAAAGACTGCTCGTTCACATGGTCAGAGCAGCGAGTTACACGCCGCGTCTCGCAGGTCTCCGCTAAAGTTTAAAAGTGATGTGTGTGGATCTGATCTAATGACAAGGACCAGCAGCACAAACATGTTTCATGTGTTTGGGGCCGCGTATTTGCGAGGATTCTTTGGGCTGCGAGACACAGAGGAGCGCGACAGGCCGGTATGTGTGTGTGTACAATACATGTATGTATGTGTGTGTAGATATAAGCTCCAATGTAGTTCTGACCTGCACTAGTGTGGAACTTTGGCGGTAACAGAGGGGAGAGATGATGCGTGTGGATGTTACGTATGGAGGGGGGGAAAGTGTTTGTGTGTGTGTGTGTGTGTGTGTGTGTGTGTGTGTGTGTGTGTGTGTGTGTGTGTGTGTGTGTGTGTGTGTGTGTGTGTGTGTGTGTGTGTGTGTGTGTGTGTGTGTGTGTGTGTGTGTGTGTGTGTGTGTGTGTGTGTGTGTGTGTGTGTGTGTGTGTGTGTGTGTGTGTGTGTGTGTGTGTGTGTGTGTGTGTGTGTGTGTGTGTGTGTGTGTGTGTGTGTGTGTGTGGTGTGTGTGCGCGCGTGCGTGCGTGTGTGCGCGCGCGCGTGCGTGTGCGTGGCTGCGTGCATATGTGGAGCGTGCGCCATGAAAGTCGCCCGTAGTCTACTAATGCATTGGCGCACACAGCTAGATACGGACCCGCTCGTCACATCGTACAAATAGGGCTTAAAATAGCCTTATTAAGAGACCTCCCCTCTCCGCTTTTTCTTATTTTTAACCGACAGCTTTGACCGGTTAACGCTGTGACGGTCAACCACCGGTTAAACGGTCACCGATTTACATCCCTAATTCAAATGTCCACCAAGAATACCCTTTGGTTTAACTTTGGGGTCCCAGAGTATTTTTGCATGATTCACGGTTTGAAACAACCTAAACGTTGTCTGCTTTGAAGCCACATTGTCTGTACATGGGCCTGTATCCACTAAGTCCGAGTGAACGCGGGGTATTAAAGGGTTAACCGTAGTGTTTTTGACTTTCACAGTTTGTAGAGGCGCATCTGTGTTTGTGGATGTAACAGCATCCCCACTCACCACGATGGAAGTTGTTGAGTCATGTGAAGGCAGCGCAATACCGTTTCCAGTAGTTGTAGGCATACCGGTAGTTTGGATTCCTGTTTTGAACACATCCGTGCGATCCTCCGTGTCACACCCAGTGACCAGCGGGGCTGCAGTCAATGAAAGCCTCCTGTCAGAAATCGAGCCAGGAGCAGGTGTCGCTCCCGCGGCTGTGCAAGAAGCCACAAAGTAGCCACAGCTAGCCGTGGCGACGCCACCAATTCCCAACCCCTCGCCGTGCGCACAGTCTGGGCAGAGAGCTGGACCAGGGCCGCTGGCAATCACCCTCGCCGCCACGGTGGACTCGTCCTCGAACCGCCCAGGACTGGACGAGGGAAGCACGGACAGCGCGGGCACCAAACCTGGAGACTGCGCATTGCCAACCGCTGGCCCAAGGTGAGCGCAGACCGCCGACACAGCTAGTGGAAACAGAAGCCTCGATGATGGTGAGTGAGTTTGGTTAATGGGACTGTTAAGGCCAGTATGCTGGGGGCTGTTTGGGAAGGAAGCTGATAGCGTGGTACTCGTAACTGGAAGCTGTGGTCCAGGGTTCAGTTCTATATCCCCGGCAAGCAGTAGCACAATTAACAGTTCGATCTCTGTGTAGTTGCGCTTGCTCTTCCTCTCATGCATCTTTGGGGCAGTTGCAGCATATCCATTGTTAAGCAGTTTTACATAAAGAACGTGTTGACTCTCTGTGACAACGATATTGTCACATTATCTTTGGAAATAGTTTTGTCTCATACAAATCACCAGTATTGTGGACACATACAATACTGAAAACCAGCGTGCTAGAAATGGTTTAGACGGTTTTGGTGAAGGGCGCACAGCACCTGCCAACCTGTGCACACCAACCGCCGCCATGTTCTCCCAGTTTAATATTAAAGAGTGTATGGAGCGCCGCTTCAATGACTGGGGCAGCTACAGGAAAACTTTTCCTCCCCCGTTCACTTTCGCCCCCACTTCCCAGGAGTACCTGTGGCTGTTGCGACCCCCGGGTAACTCCAACAGGAAGGCGAGACGCAGAGGCTGCAGAGCTGGTGTCCAGGTCCAGATCAGACGAGCCGCTTGGAGGCTGTTTGGTCACGCTCGTCCAGCGCGGAGCTACAGGTGGCTGCGTCCCATTCCCCTCCAGCAGCAGGGCGCGGGAGACAGCGCGGCGTCCCCACTCTACGCGGGAGAAGACTGGACCCGGGTCTGGTCTCCGATGCTGTACCGGCTTCCCGTGTTTACTCCCACGGACCGTCTCTGGACCAGCGGTGTGTCACGTGACCGCATGAGATGTCTGCGGCAGATCCCAAAGCGCTCAGCTGATCGCGCAGCTGCTTCACCTTCGTTCAGCCGTTTTGGATTGCTAAACGCCCGCTCCATCGCAAATAAGTCTTTCTCAATAAATGAGCTCTTCTCCAGAAAAGGCTTGCATTTCCTTTTCCTCGTTGAAACGTGGCAACGGGAGGATGAGTTTATCCACCTGAATGAACTCTGTCCAGTGTATTGCTCTGCTGTTGGGACGCCCCGCCCCTCTCGCCGCGGCGGTGGTCTGGCGGCCGTATTCAGAGACGCGTTTACATGCAGAGTGATGAGTATGGAGCACTTCACAACTTTTGAATCACACATGATGCAAATTGGCTCTACAAACACATTTTATTGTGTTTTTATTATCGTCCCCCTGGCCCTGCTGGTGCTTTCTTAGCTGAGTTTACTGACTTTTTATCCTCCATTTTAAGACTGGAGAAGGTCTTAATCCTTGGGGATTTTAACCTGCACATTGAAGATACTTTGGGTCTAGCTGCTGATTTTGTATCCATGACGGAAGCTTTTAATTTCACGCAGCATGTCTCAGGCCCCACTCATGTGAAAGGCCACACATTAGATCTGGTCTTTACACTGGGCCTGCAGGTGGCCAATGTGAGTGTTGAAGATGTGCACCTAAGTGACCATTACGGTGTGTTTTTTGATCTGCTGGGGTCCTCAGACCCTCGCCCTCTACCTGCTAAAGTAGAGAGGAGGATTATTACGGATTCTACTGCAGAAAGGTTCTGTGAAAGTTTTAACTCCTCTGTTGTATATGACTGCACCGAAATGGATGAGCTCATGTGCTCTTTTAATAATCACTGTACATCCATCCTGGACCAAGTGGCTCCTTTTAAAACTATTAATATGGAGCATCAACAGACTTGTCCCTGGATTAATGACACTGTTGTGAATCTCAGGAGATCCTGCCGTAAAATTGAACGCTTGTGGCATTCCACCAAACTTGAGGTTCACAGACTGCATCTGAGGGACCTTGTCGCCTCTCTAAACAATCAATTAGATGAGGCCAGATCAAAATATTTTCAGCAGTTGATTGTCTCCAATAAAAGAAACCCCAAGGTGCTCTTTGACACCATAAACTCTATTGTCTCTCCTGCTGCTGTTGCAGTGCAGTGCAGAGTAGGTTGCACAGAGTTTCTGAGTTTCTTTATCGACAAGGTTAGAGCGATCAAAGACAATCTTCCTTCCTCTCAGTCATGCTCAGGTTGACCCTCCTCTTCAGAGCTGGTCGTCCTTCAAGTCAGTCACTAAAGAGGATATTTTATGCACTATAACCAGTATGAAAGTGTTGTGTTGTCGATTGGATGTTGTCCCGGCTCGGCTGTTTGTTAATGTTTTAGAGTCTATCGGTCCATCGATCACTAAAATGTTTAACATGTCGCTCTCAACTGGTGTGTTCCCGTGCTCTCTTAAACATGCTGTTGTGGAGCCCCAATTAAAGAAACCCAGCCTGGACCCTACAGATCTTCAGAACTTTAGGCCCATATCAAAGATCCCGTTCTTGGCCAAAGTCCTGGAGAAGCTGGCCTACAACCAATTATCAGCGTTCTTGGAGGCTAATCATATTTTTGACTCCTTTCAGTCTGGTTTCAGGAGGTTCCACTCCACTGAAACAGCTTTACTGAAGGTGTCTAGTGACGTCATGATGGCTGCTGACTCCGGTAAATGTTCCGTCCTGGTCCTGTTAGACCTGTCGTCTGCCTTCGACAGGGTGGACCATGGTATCTTGGTCTCTAGACTCCGGGATGTGGTTGGTATGTCAGGCTCTGTGTTAGAGTGGTTTAGATCATACCTTACAGGTAGAACCTTTTGTGTGTCTTCAAACAACGTGGTGTCTGAATCCGCAGACCTACAGTGGGGTGTACCCCAAGGCTCCGTTCTTGGGCCTATTTTATTTATGTTGTACCTGCTCCCGCTAGGAAAGCTGATCCAGCAGTTCAGTGAGGTCTCCTACCACCTGTATGCTGACGATCTCCAGCTGTACTGCTCTTTTAAGCCCTCTGAGCCCCAGAGACTGGTTGCTCTCACTAACTGTCTGGACAAAATAAAGATATGGCTTAGTGAAAATAGCCTCCAGCTGAACTCCAGTAAAACAGAAACCTTAGTGTTAGCCCCGGACAGTATTGTTTCTGTTATTGCTCAGCACCTTGGTGACCTAAGTAGCTCAGTAAAAAAGAGTGTGAGGAACCTGGGAGTCACTTTTGATGGAGGGATGTCCCTAGAACGACACACCAAACAGCTGACCCAAAACTGCAATTTCCACTTGCGCAACATCTCTAAGCTCAGACAACCGGTCTCGGGTCCGGAGCTGGAGATAATTGTCCACGCTTTTGTTTCCTCGCGATTGGACTACTGTAACAGCCTGCTTACATGTCTTAGTAAAAAAGACCTGGCTCGTTTACAGGTCGTCCAAAATTCTGCTGCAAGGCTTTTGACCCGCACCCACAGGAGAGCCCACATTACTCCTGTCTTGAAGGCCTTACACTGGCTCCCTGTCTCACACAGAATACATTTTAAAATTCTTGTGTTGACATTTAGGGCCCTTCATGGTCAGGCGCCTGAATACATCCAGGGCCTGATCCACCCTTATGTCTCCAACAGGAGTCTGCGGTCCTCTACTCAGAACCTGTTGATGGTCCCCCGGACTCGTTTCAAAACCAGAGGAGACAGATCCTTCCAGGCAGTTGCTCCTCGCCTTTGGAAGGAGCTTCCTCAGTCTCTGCGTATCGTAGAGACTGTTGATGATTTTAAGTCCCAACTAAAGACACATTTGTTTGGACAGGCTTTCTCGCACCATTGTTCATAGGCCTCTGTGAATGTAAATTGTGTTTTCTGTGTTTGTTTTATCTGACTTGTATGTGTATTTTGTATTTTAATGTGTGAAGCGCTTTGTGACCCTGGTCTGTGAAAGGCGCTATACAAATAAACTTTACTTACTTACTTACTTACTTATTTGTGGCATCCTATGTATTTGTGGTCTTATTAGTCACACATATTTGTGATTGACCTCAGTTTAGACAACTGCAAGTGGCCAATGCATTCTTAAAGGACACATTTTGCTTCGTCCCATTGACAAGATTTGACAATGGGACAAAGCAAAGAAATTCCTCACGCTTGTCCCATTGGCAAATCTTGGTTTAAGGCAGTCAGAATGTACTCAAATTCAAACAATTATCGCCTAATATTTTAATATTTTGTAGATATCATGAAGCGTGAGAGCACATACCTGAATGATCTGTTTTATGTAATAACTTCACACTCACCATTTTGGGCTTTTAAAATAATACACATTGTACAATCCAACTGTGAGAGCCGGGGGGAGCACGTAATTGCAGTAAATGAAACTACTGATGAGTTTACAATATAATTTATTTACTAACAATAAATGTTAAAAATGTCCGATGTAAAAAAGAGCGAATTAAAATTAGTCCCGACACGTGTTCGTTCAGCCCAGGTCCCTTCAGCGTCTCGGGTCCTGCAGGCACAAAAGCACAGCGGCAGCAGAGTAGAGGCCAACAGCAAAGCTGCACCGACATTTCGTCCACTAAAACACGAGCACCGCTGCTTTCACACACTTACCAGCGAGGCCGAGGTTTTACACTCGGCCGCCGTCTGGATTACGCCTTGCGGTGCTCAACCCGGGACAATGCGTCTCTTGCGGTGCCACGACCCTGGAGGCAGAGCACAACCACACAGAGTACGCCAATACACCCCACAGAATCCCCCCGCCAAAAACTACTACATGAACACCACTACTCAATGTGTTGAGGTACTTACACGCGAAGGCAGAGCGTCCTCTGCCTCCTGCGGTAGTTCGGCTTCGTGGTGTTCCCTGGGGACTCGTGAGGTGATGGCGATCATTGTGATCCGGGTCGTGGTTCCGGTGCCGTGCTGTCCCGTGTCCTGCTCTCCGTATCACTGTCCTCCCTTTCTGCTCCCAGTCCGCCCTTATGTGCCCATGCTCACTCAGTTGCAGGTGCGCTGATTAAGCTGCGAGTGCAGGCATTGGCTGGGGCTCATGTGGCTCGGGGCAGCAAGGCATAACGTGAAGTAAATAACTCATAAAACCAAATAAAACAGTCCATGCAACAAATAAAACCACACAATAAAAGTCCACACTAAAAATATAAAACGTGCCTGCTTACACAACCCCAACACTAAACCATGGTTTAGACCTCTCCTCAATCCTGTTTATTTTGTGATATTTTCCATAGAACGTTACCATGACAGGTTTCCAAGGTAACGGTTGCTATGGCACCAATTTCCAGGCAGATGATGCAACAGGGTTCCGGAACTCCAGAATTTATCACCTGACTGTAGGCCTGTGGTACTGCGTCAAAGTTTATCCCAACCGTGACTTCTGAAAAACATTTCGGAGTCATTTTCTTTTTCCCAAGGACGATAATAGGAGCAAGAGATAGCAGTAGTCAAAGACTTACTTTTACTTCTCATCTTTAATAACCTGTTAGTATTTAACCTAGCACAAAAATACTAACAGAATGAGTAGTAATCCGCATGTGCGTGCTTGTAGTTCTCAAACATGCGGAGAGAACAATTGTCAAATACCACTGGATTATGTAGTGATACAGATGGAGGACGAGATAGAAGACGAGACAGAGAACAAGAAAGGGAGCTATCTGTCTCGCTTTAAACCTTTCTTCAGAAACTTGAGCTATTTTGGTCTCTTGGCTTCCGAGACAGACAACAAGGCAAAGACCAGGAAAGAGAGAAGGAGATCGAGAGTGAGCGAGACAGACAGCGAGTCAGACAGCGAGACAGACAGCGAGTCAGACAGCGAGTCAGACAGCGCGTCAGACAGCGCGTCAGACAGCGCGTCAGACAGCGCGTCAGACAGCGCGTCAGACAGCGCGTCAGACAGCGAGACACAGAGCGAGACACAGAGCGAGACAGAAAGCGAGACTGAAAGCGGGACAGAGAGCGAGACAGAAGAGGCCCGAGTGACAAGAGCCGAGTGGGAGAGTCTTCAAGAGCAGCTCAACCGAGCTCAAGAAGAACTGAAACTCAAAGATGAACAAATCCAGGCACTGCAGAAGGAAGTAACTGAGGTCAAAGATCAGTTAGAGGCAGTTGAGACCAGTAAGAAATGTTCATTGCGTTCGGCGAGGGAGCGATTGGAGCAGTGGAAGAAAGCCCAACGACAGAAGCAGCTCCAGTTACCAAAGAAATCTCGTCTGATTCCACTGGATCAGTCAGTAGTATTAGAGACAGAGGACGAGATAGAACTGAAGGTTAAAGATGAACAAATCCAGGCACTGCAGAAGGAAGTAACTGAGGTCAAAGATCAGTTAGAGGCAGTTGAGACCAGTTCGAGGCGTTCGTTGGGTTTGGCAAACGAACGATCGGCCATGTGGGAGCAAGCCCACCAACGGTTGCTGCTCCAGTTATCAAGCCAACCTTGTCCATCAGTCGTAATACAGATGGAGAGCGAGACAGAGCGCGAGAGTGAGATAGACCTGATGATGAGAGATGAACACATCCTGGCACTGCAGAAGGAAGTAACTCAGGTCAAAGATCAGTTACATGCAGTTGAGACCAGTAAGAAACGTTCATTGCGTTCAGCGAGGGAGCGATTGGAGCAGTGGAATAAAGCCCAACGACAGAAGCAGCTCCCGTTACAAAAGAAATCTCGTCAGATACCACTGGATCAGTCAGTAGTATTAGAGACAGAGGGCAAGATAGAACTGCGGGTTAAAGATGAACAAATCCAGGCACTGCAGAACAAAGTAACTGAGGTCAAAGATCAGTTAGAGGCCGTTGAGACCAGTAAGAAGCGTTCATTGCGTTCGGCGAGGGTGCGATTGGAGCAGTGGAAGAAATCCAAACGACAGAAGCAGCTCCAGTTACCAAAGAAAGACCGTCAGCTCGAGACTCTGATGGAGGTTAATGAGTCCATGACGTCTGATGATCAGACAAAGACTGGGTCACAGGTACCACTGGATCAGCCAGCCCATTTAGAGACAGAGAGGGAGGCAGAGATAGAGACTGAGGAAGAAATAGAAACAGAGATAGAGGGCAAAGTAGAGAGCGAGACAGAGACAGAGGTAGAGGCGACAGTTAGCAATATAAGTGCGTTTGAAAATCAGCCAGATTGCGCACACTATAGACAGGTGCGAATGGGACTCGGTGAGAACGTTAGGACGTTGGTCCAAATGTTCTTCCGGAAATACCAGTCCATTCAAGAGGATATAGAGCGAGATGAAGAATTAGAGAAAACTCAACGCAAGGACTCAGCTGCAAACTCCTGGTGGAAAAGGTTGTAAGGTATCACTACAGGCGGCAGGTGGCCGAGTAGTCAGCACTCGGGCTTCTCAGGAAGGTCCTAGGTTTGATTTATGTTCGACACAGGGCTTTTCTGAGTAGAGTTTTCATGTTCTTCCCGTGCATGTGTAGGTTTCCTCCATGTGCTCCAGTTTCCTCCGGATGCTCAAATTTCTCCTACCACTAAAAACATAGACAATAGCTCCCCTCTCTGAGGAGCCAGGACTTCCCTGAAAAAGAGATGCTGAAATCTCAGTGGGACATTCCTGGTTAAATGAATAACTTAAATTTGAGCGCTCCATTTGCTGAGAGTGTCAGTGAATGGAGCCCTGAAGGTTGCCAGGTGCAAAGCAGCAGAATGTACTGGAGAGTTTGTTTGGCTGTTTATGCTTCTGGAGCTTTGAGGTGGGCAACACAAACACCTACAGATGTTGCAGATTCGACACAAATTTGCCTCAGTCCAGACCATGTGGTAGATCAGGGAGGTCCGGCTGGTTCAGAAGGAAGTGTGGCTGAGATCTCAGTCCAACAAGGCAGGACCCGACTCCTCATGGCCCCAGGTCCAGGCTCAATCTGAAGACCTGAGAAAATGGGTGTAGTCTGGAGTGTTCCTGTTTGGTTGGAAGGAAAACCTCAGGTGGACCTCTGGAGAACCAGTCCGTCCTCCTGGTGTAGATCATTCAGGGCAAAGCGACAGCCTCAGCTTGCTCATTTGATTTGGGATCTGTTCTGGCGTGTGAGCTGTAAGAAAGTTCAGATCCGTGTCATGGATGTTAACTAGATCTAAGTCTGGATCAGCCAGTACATTTAGAGATAGAGGGCAAGATAGAGACGGCGAAATAGAGGGCACTTGTAAATCACTTTGCCGAGTGGTTAGCACTCGAGCTTCTCAGCAAGGAGGTCCTAGCTTCGAATCTCGGTCGGAACAAGGCCCTTCTGAGTAGAGTTTGCATGTTCTCTCCGTGCCTGCGTAGGTTTCCTCCGGGTGCTCCGGTTTCCCCTACCACTAAAAACATGTACAATAGCTTCCCTCTCTGAGGGGCCAGGACTCCCCTGAAAAAGAGATGCTGAAATCTCAGTGGGACATTCCTGGTTAAATAAATTACTTAATTTTGATCGTTCCATTTGCTGAGAGTGTCAGTGAATGGAGCCATGAAGGTTGCCAGGTTGGGTTTGGGTTGTCCACAAAAAGCTTTAAGAAGATGCAAAGCAGCAGAATGTACTGGAGAGTTTGTTTGGCTGTTTATGCTTCTGGAGCTTTGAGGTGGGCAGCACAAACACCTGCAGATGTTGCAGATTCTACACAAAATGGCCTCAACACGAGTCTGTGTCTCAGTCCAGACCATGTTGTAGATCAGGCAGGTCCGGCTGGTTCAGAAGGAGGTGTGGCTCAGGTCTCATTCCAACAAGGCAGGACCTGACTCCTCGTGGCCCCAGGTCCAGGCTCGACCTGAGGAAATGAGTGTTGTCTGGAGTGTTCCTGTTTGGTTGGAAGGAAAACCTCAGGTGGACCTCTGGGGGACCAGTGTGTCCTTCTGGTGTAGATCATTCAGGGCAAAGTGACAGCCTCAGTTTGCTCGTTTGACTTTAGATCTGTTCTGGCGTGTGAGCTGTAAGAAGGTTCAGATCCGTGTCATGGATGTAAACTAGATCAAAATCTGCAATTAGGTTTAAAACAGCGGCGTAGACTTAGTAAGAGGTTATGAGGCTGTTTGTAGGTTTAGGCAGATGTTGACTGTACTAATGCACTTGTGTTGGATGGACATCTCTGGACTTCAACAGATTCCAAATAAAGACAAGTAATTAAAATATTGACTCAGATTGTTTTTCCGTTTGTACTTTGCAGCTGCTTGATCATTAGATTTTAAATACTTTCCTCTCTGGTCTCTCTCTAGTCTCTCTCTGGTCTCTCTCTCTCTCTCTCATCTCTCTCTGCTCTCACTCTGGTCTCTCTCCCTCATCTCAGTCTTTAACAGAGAATGTGCTCGATTGAGATTAAAACCACTCAATTCAAGCAATTATTACCACATATCAAGAAATTGAAGCCGGAGCAAGAGGAATGTTTAGCAAAGATGTTATGGCTCTTCTCCCCACCGGCTCCGTTCATGGCAAAGGAGATGGCTAAAGCTAGGGTAAATGCTAAAGCTAGGCTAAATGATTAATGGCTCACTAACTATATATTATTTTGTGTTTTTTTGATAGGGACAGAAAAAGAAGCATTGTTACAGGAACCGATGCTACGTTCATAGGCCTTATAGCTTACAGCTAGTTTGCAGACTTGGTCCCTAATGACACCTGGCGCATTACATACGACACAGTAAACTCAGATCCAATGGTTTCAATCTGCAAAAGGAGTGAACCCCTCCCACCTGTTAACAGAGCTCAAAGGACCAAATCCAGACCTTAGTGCAAAATGAAATTGGTATCATAGTATGGTAAGACCAGGCTAATGCAGAGCTACCAAAGCTACCATAAGCTATTTATCCGTTTGTCTGTCTTTGAGCATCTTTGTTTCACAAGGTGGACACTCAGGTACAGATGTCAAGTAAAGTGAGAGATAATAAAGACTGAATAAAATAAATACATTAACAAATTAAACAATAATGCTCAAAAGGAGTAGGCAGAAGCAAAGCTCATTACATCCTACCGCCTTTAACTTTCTCGGGTGAGCTGTGGACTTACCGTGCATTCATTTGCTTTTATCAAAATGTGGTTGGTCATAGATTTATTTTTGTGTAATTTTGTGTATGTGTGCCTCATCCATGCCCAATACAAGCCCAAAACACACAACGTGTGCAGGTGCCTGGTTATGAATTTATCTCTAGGTAATTTGTGTGTGTATCATCCATGTATTGACAATATACTTTCTGCTTATAGCCTCGTTTGAAATGTTCTAAAGAAGTGCAATTTTTAAGTTCAATATCAAGATTGTTCCATAGGTCAAACTTTTCTTTCATTGTGGAACGAATGTCACACCAGGTGTGAGGTTCTTTTCGATCCGTTTAAAAATACCACTTTTAAATAACAGGCCAAAGTCAAGCAGGTGCACAAGTTTTAATAATAAGTAATACAAAAGTCTTTAAAATATGCGACTAAAAGCTTGTGCTAAAATACATAAAAGGCAATTTTAAAAAAGGAGATTAAAGTCTGGAGCTAAAACAATGGACCACAGTCTGTCTCTGGAAGACTGCGCGTGTCCCCCGCCTCCCGCTGGTCTGGGCCCTCGGTTTGGCGTCTTAGCTTGTCTGGGCGTTTCTGGGTCTCCTGCCCCTGCAGACTGGTTCCTGCTGATTCGCTCCGGGCCTGGTCCCGCTGCTCCGCTCCTGGCCTGGTCCCGATGATCCGCACCGGCCTGGTACCGCTGATCCGCACCGGCCTGGTCCCGCTGCTCCGCTCCAGGCCTGGTCCCGCTGATCCGCACCGGCCTGGTCCCGCTGATCCGCACCGGCCTGGTCCCGCGGATCTGCACCGGCCTGGTCCCGCGGATCTGCTCCTGGCCTGGTCCCGCTGATCCCCACCGGCCTGGTCCCGCGCATTTGCTCCTGGCCTGGTCCCGCTGATCCGCACCGGCCTGGTCCCGCGGATCTGCTCCTGGCCTGGTCCCGCGGATCTGCTCCTGGCCTGGTCCCGCTGATCAGGCCTTTTCGTGTGTAATGTCTCTTGTCCAAAGACGCGGTTACCGCACCGCTAGACTCCTCCTCCCTTCATTCATAATTCCCCTTTTTATAGTGGGAACGAGCCGAGTCAACCAATGGCTGTCTGGGGGTGTGGACTGCTCCACAGCCTCTGCCGTAGTCCTATCTACTCAGTTCCATGCAGACAAAACACAGCAAATTACACTAAAATACACACTTGAATGCAAAAGATACAACGGGCAGAGGACTACAGCTAGATTAGATGGGTGTCACTGACATTCCCCCCGACTATAATATTGGTCGTCCCGATCAAGCTCAGTCACCATATCTGACAGGTCTTTTTCCTATATTTATACGTTGAGACCGTCGTGCACTTTGGGGAAATTGTTCTGAATGCTCAGGTGGAGTAGCAGGCTCTGGGCTCCTTATATTTGCTCTAACTGGGGCCCTGGCTGATTCTGGGAGGTACGACTGAGTTACCAGTTCTGGGAGCCACCATGTCGGAGAGGGCTGGCACATTTCACTCTGTGGTTCGGCTGCTCCTGGGGTTGTAGACTCCTGGCTGGGCTCCAACACATTTAACGGACATGGCCTCAAGTTATTTCTGTGAATGGTGCGTGTAGGAGAGTCTTTACCTTCAGGGCATATGACATACACCGGATGTTCTTTGCGGAGCGGAGCCACGACGACATAGAGTTCCGGGTTCCATCTGGGGGACAGCTTCCCACCTGCACGGCAACGGAAGTTTCGGATGAGGACACGCTCCCCCGGCAACAGGGGCGCAAGCTTTGCCCTCCGGTCATAAAGCGTACGGTCATTTTCTTGTCTCAGTTCAGTCTTTTGTTTTACCCCTTCATAAGCATGGTTGAGTGCCTTTTGGTGTCCTGTAACCCATCCTTCTAGAGAGTGGCGGTCAGCGGTGGGCCCCAACCCTGTGGTCCAATCTACCGGCAGCCTTGCATGTCTCCCAAATACCAAGTAGTGGGGGGTCAAACCGGTAGTTCCATGGGGGGTGTTGTTATAGGCCTGGACAAGTGCTGGTAAGTGGGTATGCCAGTGTGCCTGTTGGGTTTCTTCCAAGGACCCCAAGAGCCCCAGTAGGGTTTGGTTAAACCGCTCGCAGGCCCCATTCTCCTGTGGGTGGAAAAGCGGTAGTGCGGTCTTTTTGGCAGCCGTATGGGCCGCTGATTCGAATGTAGCCCCCCGGTCGCTGAGGATGCGCTCTGGACATCCGAAAATGTGGATCCAATGTATGCACAACGCGCGTGCTGTGGTCTCTGCTCCCTGGTCTCTAGTGGGGACAGCAACAGCAAATTTTGAAAATAAATCAGTCATAACAAGAATATACGTGTACGAGTCCCCATCTCGTCCCAATGATAGGTAATCTATACCCACAATCTCAAATGGGTATGAGGTGACGATTGGTAGTAGGGCGGCCCTCCCGTCGGGTCCTGGTTTGTGATATATACTGTACACTGGGGGCAGTGCTCTGTCCACTCTTTCACATCCTCCGTCATTCTAGGCCAGTAACACCGCCGTCGTAAGGCCTCCAGTGTCCTCTCACAGCTAGGATGACCCATCTTTTCATGGTAAGCCCGCCACAAACTTTCAGTCTCGTGTTCTGGAATAATCTGTTGAAAGATCTGTACCCCTGAGCCTGGCTCAACCCATACTCTTCCAAGAACATTGTTTTTAAGTGAAATATGGTCCCATTCCACCAACAATCGTTTTAGATATGGGGATGTGTTGTGTACCTCTGGTCGAGTCTGCTGCTGCCCTTTCCATTGGCGTAGCAGGGCCAGGTCTGGGTCTTTGGCTTGTCGCTCCCTCCACTCTCCCATGTCCAGCCCGATTACGATTTTGTATTCCTGGACGGTACTTTATGTTCTACCTGAAGTTTGCCAACTGGGCTGCCCATCGCTGTTCTACAGCTCCCAGCTTTGCTGTCTCCAGATGCACTAAGGGGTTGTTGTCGGTGAACACTGTAAACTCCGCGCCGTATAGATAGTCCTTAAATTTCTCTGTGACCGTCCACTTCAATGCCAACAATTCCAATTTAAAGGAGCTGTAGTTCTGATCGTTACGCTCTACGGGTGATAAACTACGGCTGGCATAGGCTATCACAAGTTCCTTATCATCTTGGACTTGTGCCAGGACCGCCCCTAATCCCTCAAAACAGGCATCGGTATATGGGCGGAAGGGTTTCGAAAAGTCTGCATAGGCCAGTATTGGGGCATTGAGTAACGCAGTTTTTAGCTTGTCAAATGCACCCTGACATCCCACAGACCAATTTACCGGTGCGGTCTTAGGGGTAGTAGTTGTATTCCGTGTTAGGGCGGAGGGTGTAAGCACAAAGGGTGTGGTAAAAGCGGTTTTCTCCCTGTCTGCCGGATCCATCTCCACTTGCCAGTATCCACTGGCGAGGTCTTGCGTGGAATACCATTTTGCCGCCTTCAGCCCCGTCAAAGATTCTTCAATGCGTGGCAATGGGTAAGCGTCCACGCAGAACCTCCAGCTCCCATCTTTCTTCTTCACAAGAACAATGGGGGCCGCCCATGGGCTGGCACTCTCCCGCACCACTCGAGTCTCCAACATGTTTTTCAACAAAACTTGTTCTGTATACAAGCTTGGGGGAACGGGTCGGTACCTCTAAAGGCTAGGAGGGGCGGTACCTGTTGGTATTCGGTGTTGGACTGCACTCGTTCGGCCAAAGTCTTCGTCATGGCATGAAAACACCCTCTTCCATTTATTTAAGAGCTCTGCCATTCTCTGTTGTTCCCCCGGGTCAAGGCCATGCCCCTATAGAGATAGAACTGGGTGAGACTCTTCATCTGCAGTCAGGTCAGTCCTCAAACGCCTCATGGCTACTTCAATAATGTTCGGTGCCACACTGTCCAATACCAGTTCCTGTTCTCCTTTGATGTCTGAGAGAGTCACTTCAGATACTTGAGCCAGGGGTTGGCGTTGTGGCTCCACTGGGTAGGGGTTAGGGTTACATACTCTGCATGGGACCCGGCCACCGCTGAGCCTCGTCAGGGTCCGTCCCACATACCACTCTGAATCACTATTAGGCAGAGGTTCAACAAACACATTGGATTGGTCGGCACTCACCTGCAGCCATAGCACCATCTCAGAAAGGGGCGGAATGGTTATGGGGGATTGGCGTGGTACCTTGGCAACCCCCTGGTAAGCTGGTTCAGGACTCTTCATGGACACCCTCTGGCACTCCGCAAACGCCTGCGCCCAGACCTGGCCTTCAACCGTTGGTAACAGAGTCCTAAAAGCTGCCAAACCCGGGTGGCTCTCCTGGGTAAGTGCAGACCAAACAGGTTTAATTACATTCATTCCAAGAATCCCCTTTTCTGGCCCCAAACAGGTATCTTCTACCACCAGAATGCCCTTTTCAGGTACGCTAATATTCCCCACTGTAATGGTTACTAGAGCATAGCCAATGTAGGGAATCTTTAGCCCATTTGCTGCACGCAACCACGTTAACCATGGTACCTCTTCTGCACTAGATACCCCCGCCCCTTTAAAATGTTTCTTTGACTCAGCAGAGTTACTTGGGAACCTGTGTCCAGCACAAACGGTATCGCACAATCGTTCAGCTTTACAACGACATCTAAACACTCACCAACTAGAGCAGCCCTGGACCATGAATGTGCGATCCAATTGGTGGTGGGGCTTTGATAGTGGGCTCTTGTTCCAGGACGATCGCCCCCACTGCTTTGCCCACAGCATCAAAAATCCTGTGTCTGTGATGCTTTGCGAGGGCATCTGCGCTGAACCAGTGACGTCGCTTGGCATGGCCCAGCCGGGGCCCCACCCTGGAGCCAGGCCTGGGGTCGGGGCTCGTATGCGAGCGCCTGGTGGCCGGGCCTTAGCCCACAGGGCCCGGCCGGGCTCAGCCCGAAGGGATGACATGGGCAGTCCCTCCTGTGGGCCCACCACCTGCAGAGGGGTCCGTGGTGGCGCCTGCTGAGAGGACTGGGCGGCAGTCGAAGGCGGAGACCTCAGCGACCCAGTCCGCACACACAACATCTGGCTCTTGGGACGTGGAACGTCACCTCACTGGGGGGAAGGAGCCCGAGCTCGTGGGGCAGGTTGAGCGATACCGACTAGAGATAGTCGGCCTCACCTCCACACACAGCTTTGGCTCTGGAACCCAACTCCTTGAGAGGGGTTGGACGCTCCACTTTTTTGGTGTTTCCCGAGGGGAGAGGCGGCGAGCTGGGGTGGCCATTCTCATTGCCCCCCATCTCAGCCGCCACGTGTTGGAGTTCTCCCCGGTGAATGAGAGGGTCGCGTCCCTCCGCCTCCAGATGGGGGACAAGTCTCTCATTGTTGTGACGGCCTACGGGCCTAACAGCAGTGCAGAGTACCCGGCCTTCTTGGAGTCCTTGGGAGGGGTACTGGACGGTGCACCGCCCGGGGACTCCGTTATTCTCCTGGGGGACTTCAACGCCCATGTGGGAAACACCAGTGACACTTGGAGAGGGGTGATCGGGAAGAACGGCCCCCCTGATCTGAACCCGAGCGGTGTTCAGTTGTTCTTCTGTGCCAGTCACAGTTTGTCCATCACGAACACCATGTTCAAGCACAAGGGTGTCCACCAGTGCACGTGGCACCAGGACACCCTAGGCCGGAGGTCGATGATCGACTTTGTTGTCGTATCATCTGACCTTCGACCGCGTGTCTCGGACACTCAGGGAAAGAGAGGGGCGGAGCTGTCAACCGATCATCACCTGGTCGTGAGTTGGATCCGCTGGCAGGGGAAGAAGCCGGTCAGACCTGGCAGACCCAAGCGTATAGTGAGGGTCTGCTGGGAACGTCTTGCTGAGCCCCCTGTCAGACGGACTTTCAACTCACACCTCCGGGAGAGCTTCTCCCAGGTCCCGGCGGAGGAGGGGGACATGGAGTCCGAGTGGACCATGTTCTCTGCCTCAATCGCCGATGCGGCACATCGTAGCTGTGGTCGCAAGGTCTCTGGTGCTGGTCCCGGCCGGCAACCCCCCAACCCGGTGGTGGACACTGGCAGTAAGGGATGCTGTCAGGCTGAAGAAGGAGTCCTATCGAGCAATGATGGTTCGTGGGACTCCTGAGGCAGCTGTCCAGTACCGGCAGGCCAAGCGTGCCGCGGCCCGGGCTGTTGCAGAGGCAAAAACCCGGGACTGGGAGGAGTTCGGAGAGTCCATGGAGCATGACTATCGGTCGGCCTCGAAGAGATTCTGGCAAACCATCCGGCGCCTCAGGAGGGGGAAGCAGTTCTTTGCCAACACCATGTACGGTGCGGGTGGAGAGCTGCTGACCTCGACTGGGGATATTGTCGGGCGGTGGAAGGAATACTTTGAGGTTCTCCTCAATCCCCCCGTCACGTCCTCCGTTACAGAGGCAGAGGCTGAGGATGTTGGGCAGATTCATCCATCTCCCTGGCTGATGTCACCAAGGTGGTTGGCAGCCTCCATGGTGGCAAGGCTCCGGGTGTGGATGAGATCCATCCTGATTATCTAAAGTGTCTGGATGTTGTAGGACTGTCTTGGCTGACACGTCTCTGCAACATCGCGTGGCGATCGGGGCGGTGCCAATGGAGTGGCAGACCGGGGTGGTGGTCCCTCTCTACAAGAAGGGGGACCGGAGGGTGTGTTCCAATTATTGTGGGATCACACTCCTCAGCCTCCCCGGTAAGGTCTACTCCAAGGTACTGGAGAGGAGGCTACGGCCGATGGTCGAATCTCGGATTCAGGAGGAACAGTGTGGTTTTCGTCCCGGTCGCGGAACACTGGACCAGCTCTATACTCTCCATCGGATACTCGAGTGTTCATGGGAGTTCGCCCAACCTGTCCACATGTGCTTTGTGGATTTGGAGAAGGCGTTCGACTGTGTTCCCCGGGGTGTCCTTTGGGGGGTTCTCCGGGAGTACGGGGTCGGAGGTCCTCTGCTGAGGGCCATCTGATCCCTGTATGACCGGAGCCAGAGCTGTGTTCGCATTGCCGGCAGTAAGTCAGACCTGTTCCCGGTGAATGTTGGCCTCCGACAGGGCTGGCCTTTGTCACCGGTTCTGTTCACTGTGTTTATGGACAGAATTTCTAGACGCAACCAATGGTCGTAGGGGGTCCCGCTCCAAAGCCTCTGCCGTAGTCCAATCTACTCACAGCAAAATATACAACGGGCAGAGGACTACAGCTAGATTAGATGGGTGCCACTGACACGAACATACTGCTTTGTGAAATGTGTTTTGTGTCTGAGATTGTACATGGTATCTTGATGGAGCGCAGAGGCCTCCATCATCAGACAACAGTTCAAAAGCCAGGACTCGTCTCAGCTGGTTTGCCGTCCACACTGAGCAATCATTGGAGAAGGCACGTGACCAAGAACCTGATGGTGTCTCAAAGGGGAGAACCATTACTGAGAACCTTGTTTATTTCATAAACTCAATGGCTAGACTTAAAGTAGAAATATGTCAGATTTTCATGTCATGTCATCATTAAATTGGCCTAATATGTCAAAAGGCATTAATAAACCATGCTCTTTTTGAATACTTCTTTAACTGATAACTGTAGCTCTGCCGGGTTATGAAAATTTCAAAATAACTTTTGAAATTTTGTTTTTGATTTCATTTCGATGTCCCGCCCTCCACCGTTTTACCAATCAGACAGTCTGTGATCCGGGTTGCTAGAACTCACTGCGTCGAGCTAATCTCACTGGTAAAGTGTGTGGCCGCAGAACTAAAAAAGGTCTCGTTATGATTCTCAAACCATTAGTGACAAAACAAAGAATAAAACAAGGATTTCTATCAGGAATGGATTTGTGAAAAAGGGATTGGTTAGAGATTTGTTGTTGACGAAACTCTTGTCTCTTCAGCGATTATTGTCCCAGCAGGACTCGTCTGCATATATGGCAACCTGAGTCAGGGAGAGTGGGAGAGGTTGCAGTGACACTTTTGGCCAGATTTTTTCATATTGCTTCTTTATGTACAAAATACAAAACATCTAACAACTTTCTTGCTCTCAAAACACTTTGTTTTTATCACTAGTTTTGTGGACTTTGTCACATCTTTAAATCAGTTAGATGTGATGGTCTGTGTGCGCTGTGTCGTGATTATAGACTGGATGAATAAACTGGATCAAAGAGATACACATGCATACATACAAATAGACACATACATGTACAAAATATCCACTAGCACAACTCTCATGGATCGGAACTCTTTGCAGCCGCTTTGACATGACCTCATGTTGGTGGTGCTCATTGTAACGTGCCACATTTTTCCGTTGTTTCCCAGCTTCAAAAAACGTTCCTCTTTGAGCTTAATGCAGAGAAGTAAATCTTGGGCCAGGTTTCAGAGCTGGTTTCTTTGCACTAATAAATGTGGCTTTAGAGAAACTCTCCCCGAGGACGAGAGCGAGCCAAGCCTGCGTCCTCCTGCAGTTCAGCACTCAGAGCAGGGCTAGCAGAACCACCTGTTTCCTTCTCACTACGTATATGTAGTCGTGCTGGCACAATACAGGCCTGTTCATGGCAGATTAACACCGGGCTAGCAAAGGTGGCAGTGCCAGTTCCTCTCCAAAGTGAGCGAGGAAGTCGCCTTTTGCTCCAGACTTGCACTATTTGTGGCATCCTATGTATTTGTGGTCTTATTAGTCACACATAAATAAGTGATTGACCTCAGTTTAGACAACTGCAAGTGGCCAATGCATTCTTAAAGGACTCTTTTTAAGTCCTTTTTAACATGCACTGCAAAACTGATGAAAAATAAGTCAAAAATGGCTCAAATTTGGCCAAATGTATCTTAATTTGAGCACATTTTGCTTCGTCCCATTGATAAGATTTGACAATGGGACAAAGCAAAGAAATTTCTCACGCTTGTCCCATTGGCAAATCTTGGTTTAAGGCAGTCAGAATGTACTCAAATTCAAACAATTATCATCTAATATTTTAATATTTTGTAGATGCGTGAGAGCACAAACCTGAAGCATAACTTCACATTCACCATTTTCCCCTCTCATAAATCCTGTTTATTTTGTGATATTTTCCATAGAACGTTACCATGACAGGTTTCCAAGGTAACGGTTGCTATGGCACCAATTTCCAGGCAGATGATACAACAGGGTTCCGGAACTCTAGAATTTATCACCTGACTGTAGGCCTGTGGTACTGCGTCAAAGTTTATCCCTACCGTGACTTCTGAAAAACATTTCGGAGTCATTTTC